AGGAAGAGCCCACCTCCTCCCTACCATCACCCATGGTGGCTGGAAAGGGTGAAGGTAATGTGTTTGCCCAGCGCACTGAGCAATATTCACAATTTACAAATAATCTGATTTTGGACAAACTGATTCTCTTGTCTCTGTTTTTTTTAATTTGCACTAGTAACTGGAGAGGTTCAGTGAACAAATATTATTATAGGAATAACTGTTCGGCAGATGTAAGAGTAAGTGTGTGTTCATTTTTAAGTATGGGCAAAATCCCCTCTGCTCCTTGTAGCAAGTCACAGAGAATTCACTGTTGATAATCTCACATAGTGTTATCATGCCATAGTGCACCAGGGAGCTGTGCTGGCACCTTTTTCAATTGGCAAGTCTCTCATAAGATGGTGTCTCGAGCCAGTGTGGTCCAGCTATGGCCCTTGGGCCATAATATAAATTGCTGGCTACTTATGCTCCTATTCTGCTACCTTAATGTAACATATAACAGTGTGTTGGTCACCCACATTTAAGGAAAGGTTATAGGTTTGCTGGAAATCCTTCACTTCACTGCTATTTCTTACCTACCTAGCATTCTCTTGCCACTCTGTATCACGTACCTGAGGCAGAGACCGGAAGATGAGGAGGCTTCTCTTGCGGCTCGTGTACTGCAACCCCAGGGGTTGGAACAGAAGGCTGCAGGACAGCGAGGAGCACGAGTGCCATGGATGGAAGCAGACACCGTGCAGGAGACGTCTGGTAGCGAAGTCAGCAGGCCAAAGGTCAAAACCGGACGGGCAGCGCGGGAACAGATTCAGGAGACAAAGAATCGTGGTCCAGAAAGCCGGGCAGCAAGGTACCGAATCAGAAGGCAAGAGCGAAGTCAAGGAAACAAGCCAAGGTCAAGGGCAGGCAGCAAGCAGCAGAGTGGTCCAAGACAATACAGGTCAAAACAGGTCACAGGCAAAATCAATAGGAAACAGGAAGCACTAGATGACAAGACCATCAGCAATGTTGTGAGCTTAGGCTTGTTCTTATATAGCCACCTATGAGGTAAGATGTCAATTTCCTGTGCACTTGCTGTTTGTGCGTCGTCCCCCACACCTTCGGTTGTGCACGTATGCACACTATGGTCCGTCTTCGGTGATAGGGTCTTTGCGCGGCCGCCATTCTACCCTTACACTCTGTCACCTGCTGGAGCTCAATAAAGTACCTAGTACTTTTCGGTATAGGGGGGCATGTGAATTTCTCAACTTCTCACCATGCAGTGCTGGGTGCCTATGTGGTCAGTTGCTGGGCCTGAATTTGTTCACTTGTGGGGATCACTATTGATGTATGGGGTTTAAAAGAAATTAACTGAAGTTGAGCTGCATCAGAGATGGCAGGCTTTGCAGCAAACCTCTTAATTTGTCCTGCATGAGCTGTGTTAGTGAAATTTCAGTGCTTCTCCAAATGTTTTAAATGTATAGATGGTATAGATTCTGACAATGCTCTCAAGGTGAATGTTGTGATACTGATGTAAGTGGTTAACTGTATCAATAAAAGTGTTATCTCAGCACTGACTTCTACATTTACTTTTTTTGTTCATACTTAATAATCCATGTTTTCATTTACACAACACTGGTAAAATAAATAAACAATTTATGTACTTGTAGAAATATGAAAACATATTACACTAGATTACTGATTATTTAAAACGTTTGGGTGTCTCAAAGTCCACTAAACCCTAAAGAACATCAAGATGTTTTAGATCCTTGAGAGAAAGCTTTCATGACTGAGCATACAAGTGCAGATCCAGGGAACAATAAATGAATGAGGGAACTACACCCAGAGTCTAAAGTCCAAAGAATTTGATACAAAGTGACAAGCCAATAAGTTTTGGGGACCAGATATATCCCCTTCGTCAGGGTTAAAAGTAATACAAAATTTTAATTTTGCGCTGAACATGAGGGCTTTGTTGCTATGTCTGGCTTGTCATTTTGGAATAAAAATCACTAAACTCTAGACTTTGAATGTGATGCATTCATTCATATATTGTTTCCTGGATTTCTTCCAAGATGCCTGAAAAAAACAAGTTTTGGAGTAATGTCAAGATCTAATGCCTCCCATTCAAATTTCTCCCAGTTACATGTTCAGATGTCTCACCAGGAACAGCAGGTGGTAAGATATCTGCCTGCCTGGTATAGAACTAGGCCATATTTTCTTTTGTTCCTTTACAGTACTTAAGATATGTAACATTGTATTTAAATTTCTTGTTAGAGTATATACTATTGTTCTTTGCTATTAGCCTTTTTGGTGTGAAAGAGGCTAAGGAGAGGCAAAGTGAAGCAGTGTCCATCAATTAGATTACCCAACAGAATGTCTTCTCTGTAAAGCTAAATACTGCCTCCTATAACAATAGCTTTATCTCAGATACCTCCAGTTCAGATATATGGCTCTTTAAAGTTGATTAATAGCTTTTCTTTAATAAATCAGAGTGGAAAGGATAGAATCCTTCTACGTATTTGTGCCAGGTCTGCATCTAATGAAGGCTATACATGCAGCGAATTTCGATCGGTTGTTAATGAACCAGCTTAAATTCGCTAGATTCCTATTGGCTATTTCAATTTGCAATAGCCAATAGTAAACTAGCATTGTACCCGCCAGTATTAAAAAAATGATTCATGTTAGAAGGAAAAGCTGTGGTCAATGACACTGACACCAACCCTTGTAAAACAGGCCAACACTGCACTTTATGTTATTCATGAGAAGATTTGCCCTTTAAAGTAAGCGAAAACCTTTTGTTAAAAAGAAATAATAAAAGATTTGGGGCAATCGTTGATTCTTTTTGTTTTTTTGTTTTTTCAGTTTTGTAAACTGATGTTTGATATATAGTTTTTTACTAATTAAAATAAAATATTTATTTTACAAAAAAACATTAAATGCAGTGTGCATCTATAACACAGGTTCTACTGCGCTATGTAGGTATAGGTTTGTAAAAACAGAGCCAAACAGCAGCTTTTTACTTTCTCATTGTCCCTCTTTAATTCAAACTCTTTTCAAAGCAATACAGAGCAAAGAGGGTGCGGCATGAGTAATTTCTCTAACTTGTTCAGCTGTGTGCGTCATCTGACAATTAAAGCCCAACTCCGGACACAAGATGAAAAAACCCTTGCAGTGTGTTTGTGTGCAAGGGGGAAACGTTTGTCTTATGCTGACAGCCGCAAGGGTCAACTGCTTGTTAAGCCTAGGGGTGCAGGGATAAGGAGTAATAACTAATTTACAATGCAGGGTTAATACCCATGCATCATGCGTGATGACGACATGGGACCGCCTCTAAGAAATGTGTTCTCTTCTTGTACCCCATAGATCTATCAAAACTTTTTTTTGTGCCCAGGAATGGGTTTTAAGTACTTAGACCATATAAACAACTGAATTTGGTAAGTATATGGAAAATGGCACAGAATTTAACCTGCTGACTAACCTATGTAAATAAGAAATTTTCATATGCAATATATCATATTTAGATGACTCAAAACATGTATTTCTTTCTGGGGCAAACATGAATTAAAGATTATATATATA